CATCATTTCCTGTTTCTTTGTCAAACCATTCGGATTGCCTCCGTTGACACCATTGAACGTTTGTAGTGTTGTGGGCGCACGGAATTGTGCACCCCAATCGGCCTTGGTACTATAGATGCCGGTCATATCCAGGTCACTGGGAGGTTCCTTTTCTGTAAAACGAAATTAAAACAAAATTGATTTATGCACATTCATCATCAACTGAAAGCACTCTGTGTGGCAGCTGTCTTTGGGCTTACCTTCATTAATGATTAACTCTGACTTGGAGTTGGCAGACAGCGAACGAAAGAGTGCGGCTGAATTGGGACGATATGTATCTAAGGAGGCAGATAATTCCATTAAAGGTTTCATAATGCCCTTCAGATGTTGCAGTTGTTCGCAGGCGAATATTAACCAAGAACAGAACAGCACATCGCACAAGTTCGAGTGTACCATGGAGAATAGCAAGTAGTAGCCTTGAAAGGCGAATGATATCGTATAGAATATACCCTGGCTAGCATCCCAGGGATAGAATGATTTAATAGGCAATCTGGGTATTTCCACTGTTATAGAGGAGTTGGTCTCCTTGTCGAAGGCAAACTTTACACTTTCACCAAAGAAAGTGATGGTTATCCAAGCTTAAGAGCAAAGATAAATTTAATTAATTACCACTTTAATCACAGTATTACACATTCAGGCATAAACATCCCAACAGTTAAAATTTGTTTCTCCTTAAACTTACCCACTGCTGATGCTACTGTCGTCAGCATTACCAAGAAGAATAATTTTCTCATTTTAGCCAAAGCGATTGAATGATAGCGAGCATCTGATTCAGCAAACAATGGATGAGTATTAACCTGATTCCAAATGTTCAAAGTTCTGCAGACACACCACAAAGTTAATGTTTGAGAAAAAAGGAAAAGCAAAAGTTGGAAAGATACAAGAACAAAGAATAATTTTTAATGCAAAATAAATTACTCGATTAATTGATTCTTGTGACATTTTATTGTGGCACACAGCTCAGCCTAGTCACTGCCAGCCACACAGCCACAGTTACAAACAATTAAAAAGACCCATTTAATATTGTCAACCATGTCAGAGGCCAGATTTAATTTATTCCTTGTACTTTGTTCGCATTTTGCACAAGTAGCAATTAAAAGCCAACAATAATCATGGTTTCATTTTCAATCCCATAGCCGCCCATTAAACAAACGCACATACATACAACCTCTCATCCATCCCTCCTCCATTAAGTAGTGACCCCACCACTTACCTGTAAAAATTCTTCTGATTCACAGCCAGATAAATAAATTTCGTAACGCAGTGCGTAAAGAATAGTGCGGTAATTGTATTACCGGACAACTCATTTACTTCGTCAGCATTCAGTGCCATGTTGACAAGTATAAACATGAATTGTGCCAATATTAACACCAAATGTATGGATGAATAGACTTTTTTCAGCAGCGGTGATCCACCCGTGAACGCATGCATAAATAAACCAGAATATTTCATCAGCTTGATGTTGGGCATTAAGTCGGCCACAAGGCCGACATATTTCGTTGGTTGTAGATTCGACTGCATCTATGGAGTTAAGGTAAAATGAAATAAATTAATGTATTAATAATACCAGGGTGTAATTTTGAAGTTTCAAAGGGATTAATTAAGAAAATTGCAGTCGAAGTTTTTATTTTTACTTAAAGTTTTATTTCTTTTTGGGGCGTTCATAATATATCTGTGGATAGTGTGCATATTTTTGCTTAAAATCTATACTATTTCTTTTATGCTATTCCGAATTAGGCCAAACATATTTATATCGAACTTGTTTTTATGTCCACCATTGTAAAATATAGGTATATTCATTTTTTGATATATCGATATATTGGATAATGATCCACAAAAGTTCTTGTTAATTCTTATTAGATTCCACGATGATCCAGCCATATTCGCTCGTCTGTCAGTTATATTCATAAGCAAATGACGATTTCTTTCACATGCATATTCCAACTGAGATCGGTAGGGTCAATTATGGACCGGTAAAGAGATTTTTTCGGTAGAGAGATTTTTACTCGTAAGAAACTTTCTTATATCGAATTTCAGCGCTAGACTTGTATTTTTAGGCCAGTAATGGCCGTTAAATTAATTTTTTGGAGGGGACCATATATGAGGGGTAGGGTCAATTATGGACTGATCCATAATTGGTAGAAAGAATTCGACTCATATAAGACTTATTTATGTCGAATTTCATAGCTATACTCGCATTTTTAACAGTTATGGCTGTTACAGCTGTTTTTCGCGGGGGTGGCCATTTTTATGAGGTCTATGTGAAATCGTGTATCCATTTTCAATACCAAACAAAACTTAACTATAAGATATATTTGTGAAAATTTTCAACTCTCTAGCTCTTTCCGTTCGGACTTGATCATGCTCTCAACAGACATGGCTAGATCGTCTTAGAATTTAATAAGAACCCAGAATATATATATATATATATATATATATATATATATATATATATATATATATATATATATATATATATATATATATATATATATATATATATACTTTTGTAGGTCTTTGATCAATATTTCGATGTATTACAAACGGAATGACAAAATCAATATACCCCCCATCCTTTTTGATGGTGGTTATAAAAACAAAACAATTTTTTGGTATCTAATTCTAATGTGCATTTAATTTTTCAATATCATAAGTATAATACTAATCTGAATCGGTTGCATGTTGTATGTCTCTCAGTAATTTTTCTATTGACCATAAGTATACAATCGGATGCGTTTTAACATTATTCTATAAATGTCCATGAGGATTGGTCCATAATAAAACTCCTCTTACAAGAAATTTTATTATACAATGTGATAAGAATAATAATAATCTGAATCGGTTGCAAGTTATATGTCCTTCAGTTCCTATTGACCATTAGGTTTAATTTGTAATAACTTGAAAACTGGTATATTGGCTATATTGTAGGAATCAGCATTATTCTACAAATATTAATGAGGATTGGTCCATTATTAGTTTATTGTCAAACATTTTTTTAAAAAATTGTGATAGTCTTATTCTCGAAAGGGACCAAAGGGAAAAGCAAATAGAGAATCATTAAACCAAATTTCTCAAAGCGTTTTCAAAAGTTAGATCGTAAACGTAAATCTAATCTATTGATAACGTTCTTGATTGCCTTGCTCTAGAACATATTCTCATTAAATTCTTAGAAAAGTGTTTTGGTTTTGAACTGCACTTAGTAATGGTCAGTTCGTAATTTCAAAAGCCACGCCTACTATTTTGAACCTGCTAATTATTGTTACAATAACAACATAGTAGTTTTTAAGAAGGTATTTTATAAAATGTCTCAACATATCCGATAATAACATAGTTACTATTTAAGAAAAATGCCACACCCATTTGATATTCTACTTATATTTTTTCATAAAGGGGAAGTACATTGCAGATCAGTGTAATTTTTATGAAAACTCTATTTATTCGTATATTTTCTCTTGGACTATGGAAAATCCATAAATGCGGACCTTCTGGTACATTTTTATACCCTACACCACTTTAGTGGGGAGGGTATATTGCTTTTGTGCTGATGTTTGTATCGCACAATAATACTGATCCTATACTAATCGGCTTAAAATCATTTTCTCAGTCGATTTGGCTATGTCCGTCCGTCCGTCTGTCCGTCCATGTAAACCTTGTAATCAAACTACAGGTCGCAATTTTGAAGATAATTCAATGAAATTTGGATCATGTACCAAATTATATTATCGATTATATCAGGGACGAAGCCTATTGAAAATGATTATGATCGGTTCATTATTTCACCTAGCCCCCATACAACTGAACCCCCGAATAGGGCTTGTAAACCATGTAATCAAACTACAGGTCACAATTTTGATGATAATTCAATGAAATTTGGCATATGATCATCTATAGTACTAGAGACGAAGCCTAATGAAAATGGTTAACATAGGTCCATTATTTCACAAAGCAACTAAACCCCCGAATAGGGCTTTTAAGTTCATAGTTATGTTTAATATACTCGTATCTCGACAAAAAGCTGCAAAACCAAATTCTTTACTAGCCTTGATGACCCTCATGAATATTATAATTATAGGACCTCATTTGACCCTAGCCCCTAAACAAAGCCCTTCAAAATTTGTCTTATTGAACCTAGAAACATAAAACTGAATATGATTAAATGAAGATCTATAGAAAAGGAGTTTTTGCTACTTTTTGAATTTTCTGTAATATTTAGAATCGTAAAATCAAACTTATAGGGTCATGATTAATTGAAATTTATAAAAGGGCACTTTTCGGTACATTTTCCTTTATCAACCATTATTTTTTTTTAATTTCTGCAGTATTAATATAATGCATGAAAAACTATAAAAGTGGGCTTGCTGATATTACAGATATACATATACGTGTATATTAACCGGACTAAATATTCACAATTTGATTCCATTACGATTAGTTTAGCGAAGCACACTGGGTATAGCTGGTTTGTATGTATATAAACATTTAAGAGTTTTAGGGAATACATATTTTAAACGGAATAATTTTTGTTTAAACCCACTTATAGACACAGTTTTCTTCAGCTATAATTCACTTTTAAATACTTTTAGTATCAACTTTTTCATTTTAAACATCCTTTGCATACCTTTAAATTATTCGACTTTTGCAAAACTAAAAAACTTTATATTAAGTAGGTTTTATTCCAGTTTTGTTTTTCAAATTTTATTTTCTTTTATTTATTTTTTCTTAAACAACATTTTGTAGTAACTTTTAAGATACGTTGGAGTAGTTGTATTCAATATTTTCAATCTGTAAATGACACAAATTTATCACAAGCACTTTGTCTAGAATTTAAATAAAAAGCGACAACGAATTTGACCTTTTTTCTGTTTTTTATTCAACAATATGAAAATGTTGTTTTTTTTTTTTGTAAAGTTTATTTTTCTCTCGTTTTTTTGTTTATTTTTTATAAAATGTTCTTAACTTGTTAAAGTCCAATCATTAAATGAATCAATTTAATCTGTCGAAAACGACGTGTACTTAAAATGTCGTTTGCCTTTTTTCAGTTTTTTTTTTTTGTTAAAAATTCTCACGTTCAATACAGCTACACAAAAAATTAAAAATTAAAAAAATAGTAATAATACCGGACTGGGGTAGTCAGACATTTTTAATATAATTTCATGGAAAATCTGTGCTACCTACATCAGGTAAAGGACAAACAAAGATGTAGTGCGTGTGCCGGTTTCTGTATTTAATTAAGTCAAGTCCAACAAAGTTTTCTTGAGTAGGTCAAAGGAATAAATAAAATAAGAGATGGGTGGGGACTTTAAATAGTTTAGCATTAGACATTGATATTGAAAATCACAGTTTTTATATATGAACTATGTGTGTGTTTGTAAGTTAAGGTTTTGGTGTTGAAATAGTTTATATTAAATATTGTGTCTTTGCGTGTATGTATAGTTGTATTGTTGAACGAATGAACGTCTGTTTTAAATTTCCAAAATTCCCACAATTATTTTCATTTTCGTTCTGTTAAATATGTGTTAATAATACAACCTCAACTGCAACTATAACTTAAGTATATTAAAAATAAAATGTTAATAAATTTCAAAGTAATAACATTTATTAAAAATATGTATTTACAGGCATATGATTTAACACTAAAAGGACCGTTATAATATAGGTTTGTCACGGATTAAACAAATATTGCAAGCTATTAACAAGTATGTAAAATTAAATATCACGCAAAATAATTCGAAAAAATACGGAAGTTCAAGTAAGTTATGAGGTCAGGGACATAAAATGAAAAATATATTCTCGAAACAGCACATAAGTCATTAAGTCGATGGATCATTGACAGTGGTTTGAGTGTAAACCCGAGCAAAACCGAGCTTGTACTCTACACTAAGAAATACCAGATCGAAAACTCACTTTCGTATAGCGCGAAATACCTAGGTGTGATACTTGATAATAAATTATCATGGAAACACAACATCACAGCCAGAGTGAATAAGGCCTTAAGGGCAATGTACATCTGTAGGAAAGCCATAGGCAAAAAATAGGGACTTAACCTAAAATCAGTTAACTGGATTCATAAAGCGGCTATTAAACCTATTATCTCTTACGGGGTGGTTGTCTGGTGGAAAGCACTTGACAAACACTCCAACTGTATACTTCTTGACAAAGTTCTAAGAAGGATATCAATCCTTATAGCAGGAGTACTTAGAATCCTTTGGGTATATACGGACGGTTCTAAGAAAGGGGAACGAGTGGGAGGTGGCATTTTCATCCCTAAATTAAAATAAGCTGTAGGATACAGAATGATTGGTGTCCACTACAGGCATAAAAAGAGCAGCAAATTGGCTTTGGTATCAAATACCTGATGGGTGTACATTCAAATTAGACCAGGAACGCCGGACATCCTTAAATAGGGTGGCGAGACATTCAACAATCGTACTCTAATGGGTACGGGGACATGGGGACTTGACTGGCAACTGTATAGCTGATGAATTAGCGAAAAGAGGAGCCTCTAGACATCTTTCCCGGCATACCGCTAAAAGCTTGTAAAAAACAAATACTTAGACGAATGCTTCTATGAACTCTCGCAGACAAGATGGCGTAATGAACAAACTTGTATCCGCACCAGTAAGATATCGCCAAGTCTGGATAGTAAATGTACGCAATATCTTCTACAACTAAACCGTCCTTATCTCAGCAATCTTTTTACTGTCACCACAGGACATAGTTTATTTGGAAACCCTAAAACTATCCACCGCATTCTCTCTTTTTGTTTTCATTATCTTTACAGGTATCACAAAGGGACCAACAGGACCCAAAATTGCGTCTTCTTCGGCCTGAATACCATACCATATCTTTTCTTTTCTTTGGTTTTATAGCATTGCCTGCAGAAGATGATTGCCATACAGAAGAAATTAGAGAGAATCATTGATAATCGTATTAGATTGTCGGTGGACAAAAAACCCTTATCTCCCTCTCAACATGACTAAAGAAAATCAGTTGCAACAGATCTCGAAGTAGACCTCTCTACAATAGGTTTGCCAAATACATAAATATAAATAGGATCACATGGTCATATATTGGAATTACAACGATAGAGTCCCACACCGGGAGTTTTCATTCTCCGCTCCTTTGGAAGTTGGCTACCAATTGTCTGTTCATAGAGCTATGTATAATCTTTCAAATATTGAACTATGTAAGTGCATATACAACAAAGCTAGAGAGACAAGATTGGGATTAGGTTAGGTTATGTCAGATTGTTAGGTTGTGTGGGTTGCGTGCAAGTTTGCGAGTTCACCCGGAGTCCATGTTGCCCATATTATAATTACTATTCTCTTATGTCGAGAATTCATACATAAAGGGAGAAACTCCCTTCCTAATTCCGTTGACTATGTGTTTAATGTGGTCCCCGTGAGAACCAGCTGGTACTTCTAGTAAATCTGATCATATTTACTAGTGACACATCTCTTAGACAGATCATATCATAGAAAGGAGCTCTACCAAGATATAATATGCTCTTGTACGGTTGTGCAGCCACATAGAAGATGTTGTAAGAAATCGTCCTCCTCATCCAATGATGTGGGTAACACATTAGTTCCGACATGTATCCAATCATACCGTGACCACTCATTATACCCGTGAGAAGCCTTATAGAATTAATCCTAAAAGACATAAGAGTACTAGTCCTATCCACTGTCAGAGTGGATCAGAGTAACCTGTATATTGTAAGAGTGAAAATATTTGACCACCTGAGTTCCGTCTCAAAGCTCATTCTTCTATAAATTTCGATACGGTCACCTAGGGAGTGTAAATAGCCCTTTGCGCAAGAGTTACGTCTAAGGACGACCTGTTGGTTGAGCATTCATCAGATGCTTTATTACATCTAGTCGTGATGATGTTTCGGTTGTGCCAGTGTTAGGATACAATTGAGAAGACATTTCGATTTAATAACGTTGGAGTTAGGAGCCTTGATTGATGTAATCAACATTCGAGATTCAGTTTGCTGATTCTTCTCGTGGTTATATCGATAACATATATCGTGCAAGTATCGAGTAGTCGAAGAGATAAAAACAGGTCCACTTCATCGAAGAAAAATTCTCGAGCTCATTCCTACAGTTTAAGTCGTAGAGTAGACTTAGCAGAAATGCATTTGATACCTCAAGGGGAGTTATATTTAGCACCGTCTCTAGACTGGCCTGAGGGTTGGAACATAGAGCCAGTAATTGCAATACATGCTAACCGTTGTACCTTGTTTGGAATAGAGAGGTGAGTCTTGCTGTAGTTATTTCATCAATAACGCCATTGCGATTTGGGGAATAGGTTTTGTAGCCAATTGTCTAGAACTTAACCAGTTATTGTTTGGACCTCGTCAAACATCAATAAGTAGTTAATTATTCACCTAAAAAGTAAGTATTTCCACATCGCTCCAATATTACGATATCCAAATTTCTATACCTGAAATAAGTATTATAAATCACCTAAACCGTTACTTTTGGTTTAATTAAATGATCTTTTCTCAATGGTTTTTTATCTAGTTCTTCTGTATATGAAACTGTTTTATCTAAGATTATATTACTAAATCTATGACAACTTTTTCATATCAACTATTTTCAGTTAATAAAATTTGAACATTTTTGAAATATTTAAATTTCAATTAGTTTAAATAGTGTTAACTGTTAAAATTATGCCACGTATCCCTGTTTCCTTTAATATTTGTTTTGGTATCTGTACATTGTTGTAAATATATGTATTTGTTTGTATATTTCAACACATATCGTTGTGAGTGTGTCTGTGTGATATATATAAACAACTGTTGAAATAACAAACATCTGCATGCATATAGCCAATTCAAATAATAAAGAAGAACAACAACGATATTATTATAAACGTGAGTATGTTACTGTGTATATAAATATGTACATTAGAGTGGCCCTAAAATCTTAGTTGCATAAAATGAAAATTTAGTTCTTTCGAAGATTTTATTTCTCAAATTTTTGGCCCCATTGCCAATATTTGGTGACCTGGATCAGAAAATAAAAAGGTCCTCTGAAAGGCTTTATATTAAACTTTAATGTACTATTACAAAAGTATTAAGAAATGTTTAACTTTTTGGGAAAAATATTTGTTTTTTTACATTTTTTCCGACATTTTTTAAAATGTTTAATATTTCTAGCACTCAAATTTATTATACGTCATTGGAAGCGCCTCTCAATGTCCTTATACAAATTTCATTCGGTTGCCTTAAAAAAGAATCATTTTATTATTAAGCCCAGCTGAGCAGATATTGATCCCAGAACAAACATTTTAAGAAATGGTATCTTAGAATGAACCAAAATTCGTTTCACCATACTAACGGGGTCACCTTAATATACCTACCTGCATACAAAATACACATATGATCGATGAATTAGGTGTGTTTTTGTAACCAACACCATTATATATTATGCATATGTGTTGATGTTTTTAACACCCAAAATTATTGGTTGTACACCCACCTTAAAGTATACCAATCGTCCGTCTCTCATCTGTGTGTCCATGTAAATCTTGTGTGCACTCTAAAGGTCGCAATTTTCAAGATAATTTGATGAAATTTTGACCCAAAGATGAAGCCATTGAAAATGGTTAAAATCGGGCCATTACTTCGTATAGCCCCCATAGAACTGTACCTCCCTAATAAGGCTTTTGAGTCCATAAATATGTTAAATGTTCTTGTATCACTCCAAAAATCGCAAAACTTAGTTTTATATAAGTCTTAATGATATGGCGGATTTTCGTAATGATCGGGCCTCCCATACAAGTTCTCTTCAGAAAATGATTTGATGATCAAAATTCACTTATAAATACTAATATCATCATGATATTCTGCACAAATAACTTAAATGTAAATCTTTCATAATCATATGGTCAACAATGCCCGACTATAAATTATTACTTGTTTTTAATTTTTTAAGATGGGATAGAATAGGATCAT